CCATAATACTATACTAGTCAGAGTCAACTAAAGATGCCGCATAGTCTAAACTTGTGCATACACCCCAATATTTATATTGACATCATTTCTTTATTTTGTATAAAAAAATTACTCATTTGTCCCATTTTATGGGATATACTTTCCTCAAAAGGGTACTTTATAAGCTAACCAACATCGCCTGATGATCTGAGGCCCTGAGCAGTCAATTCTTTCACTAAAGACCTTTAGCACCAAAATGCAATAGAATATTAACTGGGCAGGTGGATACCCTTATCCCTTTAGGTATTGTGTTCAAACCATTGTGATCATAACACCAAAACTTTTATTGTCTTATTATTACTTATATGGCAAATAGATGCTAACAATAGGTACATCTAAAGTTTTGAATTTATAGTTATATTTTGAAAAATATAATCAGATTGGGAGCATTCACTCAAACATAGAACAAATAGGTCAAATCATATTAAAAGACCCAATCCAATCTATTAACTAGTTCACTCTAGATGTCTTCTAATATAATTTATCTATCTTTGATCTTTCAATGTGGAATTTTAACGCCATCTACTTCTTGTTGATCACATTCAGTGAAGCTTCTCCCAAAACTGAAGCTTGAAAATTACTACATCTGAAGGCACTACAAGTCATTGAGGTGTGGCATCCATGCAAACAACCAGGTTTATGACCATGGGGAACTATTCCACACATGGATAAACATCCCTTCAACAAGTGGCTAATAGGACCACATATCGTTGAAAACAAACTTCCAGCCGGACAACCATGTTGCTAAATGAACTTGGTACAACGAAATGAGTCAAGTCACTAAAAGATCAAATCTTATTGATTATTTAGCATGACCACGGATTTATCAACTCAACTCTCCTTAATCTGTATAACTTTCAAGTTGTAACTTCTAAGTTATATATTCATTGAGTGCTCGACAAGTACCGTGCCATGTAGGCTATCTATGTGGCATGACTTATGAGTTACTCAATGACTCTCTTAACTCGGATTGGAGTTAAACATGGAATATTTCAGAAAATAAATTGATGAAATCAACTAAAATTGATAACCGTTCATCAACTTATTTTATTATCTACCAGATTTATAGAACTAAGGTTTATAAATGCAACTCTTCATTAATTTTGACGAATACAAGAGCTGTATGAAACTACTCCGTAATATTGTTATAGTAATAGTAATGTAGCGTACAAATTTTCAACTTTACTGATACAGGACAGAGTAGTAACCAGGTATTCCCAGAGTAACTGGATAGTAAGTAGTAAACATTTAACAACTTAGTATCTTTGATTTTTTTTGGCAAAAAACATAGTATTAACATGCTCAAGATGGTAATGCACTGGCTAAAAGTGCAATACCAGGACAAAAAAACTCATAACTCTCCTCTGAAAAACGTAATAAGTAGCTAATGAATAATAAACTCAACATATCAAAGGAAACTGAAGTATTATTCATATAGCTTCCCTATAAATTAACTTGATTAACATCCTTAGTTGATACTGCCATTAGGTCAAAAGAACCCACAACCACCTCCGAGAGCACTCCAATAGAAAAAATAAGAATGAAATCGATAATGACAGCAGAAGTACCTTTCCAGAACCTAGAAATCCTGTGATAATGGTAGCAGGAATGCGATTATCTGGCGTGATATTGGTCAATATCTCAGAATCTTCCCTTTGCAGATTGGAGGTTGTGGCTGAACAGGCAGTGAAGCTCCGGGGAAAACGCCTATACTTAGGGGAATAACTATTGGTGGCAGCAGAGATAACTCTTGAACGAAGGAATGATGAGGAAGTGGTCAGTGAACTGCTGCTCTGGGACTCGTCCGTTCTCCATATGCTTCCAGGAAAAAGGGTGCGTAGGCTACTGATTGGTGGCCTCCGCCTCTTGGCTATACCCAGAAGGGTCGCGGCTGCATCAATCGACAAGGAAGCCATATCCAATGGCGGGGTGATGTGGGGAGGGGAATGGGGTTTACAAGGTTTAGCGGGTGCACTTATGCAGACTACAGAACCTAGTACATTCACACTTTTCTATTTAAAGTTTCATTTTTTGATTTTTTTTTTGAAGAAGTGGCTCACTAGCTTGTTTGTTTGGGGTTAACTAGGTTATTGCATGTTTAATTTTTAGTTTACCTCGTTCGTTTGTGTTTTTGAAACAAGAACCTAGATTATGACTTAACCTCACATAACTGACGATAACCTGGAAACACCTCAAATTGAAGAACATCTTAAGTGGGGGCTTTTGGAAGTTAAGTTCACTTCAACAAAAAAAAGCTAAAGTACCTTCAACCAAACAACATTTATGACATTAACTTAGGTTCACCTTATTTATTTTCAAACAATATTTTACGTATGAACCTAAGTTTAGTTATGTTAACCTAGTTTTTATTAAAACTTAGGTTTACTTTATTGTACTAGGTTTACTTAACTTCACTTTTTCCAAACATGGCATAAGATAACATAACGTAAGCAGGAAAAATCAGACAAAGAGTTCATTGTCTACCGTCTGCCCTTGAACCAGACTTATAACCCGCTACCTCCAAAGAAGCAATCAGATTCGCTGATCCTGGATTGAGCTTACCTGAGCAAATGACTTGTAAACTAGACTCTTTGTCACCTGTCCTATGTTCTAGAGTTCTATCATGAATAAAAATGAAAGCAAACAGAATCATACGATATCCGAAACAAAAAAAAAACATGAAAGAAAATAAGTCTAAAATTGAAAAAAACTTCAGCATGCAGAGAACACCATATATGGGGGCGAGGATGCTCCGGCCCGCCCTTCCCTATTTTTTTGTCCCGTCAAGAGTCATGGCATCCTCCTCTAAGTTCTCCTGCTCATGTGCTTCCCAAGTACGTCTTCTTTTCTGCTTTTCCTGGTCCACTGCTACTCTATCCCGCTCCATCCTTAGTATGTGGCCTCATTCCTCCCTGGATTTCATCTTCCGAGTAGTGTTGCCCCTGTTTAGGCTTATCCTTGTAGTTTCTTTCCGACTTGGTTAAATCTCTCTCTCTCTGCACCTCCTTCATTCACAAGCCATTTATTTCCCAAAGATGGGCGAGGCCTCCCTCTCCCGCCCGCAACTACAAACCAAAAGATTTAACAATATTTTTATCTCTTTTAATTTTTTATACAACAAAGGGCAAAACCTCTCAGCATGTCCTATAATTCCGCAAGCAAAACAAAACGGTGAAATTTTTGTACTTGAAATCAACCCAATAGCCTTCCCCTCCACTCTTCTTCAAGGTTGTTCCCACTTTCAAGGGGTTTCTCACATCCAAATTCACCCTAAACCTCATATAGGTGTCCCATCTCTCATCGAATTGGTTATCATCCCAGGTAATAAATTTCCCGAGATGGTTCCCAATTCTTTGAGCAGTGCCCAGATTCGAAAAGCCATATGGAATATTGTGCACCTGAACCCAAAAATGAGCCAAATCTAGGGGGCCTTCAGAGGACTAACCCCCAGTTTTATGGCCTTTAGCACCAATAGGTTTTGATCAAACAACCAGGGTCCATTTCCAACACACGAGCCATATCAAATATATGATAAAATTTAAACACATACCTCCTCTCACCGATCTCTTGGATGCACACTCCTTTGCCCGGATGCCACAGAGTCGCCATCAAGTCTCTAAAAAATTGGAACTTCACCACTTTGTCCGTGAGAATCGTGCCCACTACTGGAAACGTAGTCGCCTCCCTGTGCGCCACACATGAATCAGTCTCTATGCCTTCATCACCCTCCAGTCACAACTCGTCCAACATTGGTCCCAAGACCATGCCGCCATTCTTGTCTATGATCTGCTCCAGATGTCTACTCCCTTCGACCGATGAAGCCTCCCCATCCTTGTCGTGCTATTCGCTGCTGCCCTATACTTGGTAGCCGCCCGATGCCATATATAGCCGTTCCCGGCCTGCATTTCGTCCGTCAATCCCAAGTCGCACAAAATCGGCAGAGTATAACCGCACCTCAAAATGGCGGAAACCCTGTCTCATTTTTTGAACTTTAACACTTTGGTTTACATAAAATATATGCACACACTTGATACATTCACACTTATCACAATCCTAATGACTATACACTGTCGGTATACACAAACAATTATTTACAAATGTGTGCCAAATGGGTATTAACCGTGAGGATTGCTTTGCGCACCTCATAGTTACTTAAAACAACTCTTGTGAGACAAATATGCCCTTTAAACTTTAAACCCTTTTATTGAAATGAGACCTGTGACCTCTTTGGAATATCAAAAGCGATATCGGTAGATCACAAGATACTTGACAATTGCCAAAAGCTATCACTTATAAATATAAAAAATGAACTCTATCATTTTGGTTGTCACTAGTTCCAAAATAGGACTCATTCACTAATAGTTAGGAAAATTCCAATCATTTTTATGAATAGAAGTAAATAAGTTATATTTTGAAAAATAAAACATTCTTAATTCTATTTTTGGTTTTTTTATATGTTTTAGCCCTACTTTCAAATGTTTCAACTTTATGAAAGAACTTATGTACAAAGTATCTTATCATCATCATTACCTCAATGCCGCAGTCTTAACTCTACATTACGCTGCCTTACCTCTATATTAAAATTAAAACACATAAAAACCTTTTTTGAGTGACCTATAGACTATAGTTAATATTCCATCCATCCCAAATTGTAAGGCACTTTACGGTTTACGATGTTTGAGCGACGATAAAGCAAATTGATCCCTGTCAACACTCAAATTAGTGTTAGAAAATAAAATTTACATATTCAGAAATTACATTAAAACTGCTACAAAACCTGCAAAAATAATTCAAATTTCATAAAATTTTGATAGATAAAGTAAGAAATTAAGAGTAATTTGTATTGACTAAGTGAATAAGTTAGACTTCTTACAAAATGAGATTTAGGGAGTATTTGTTTTATTTCGTCATATGTATATATATATGTCATAAAAGTAATAAGATATCTCATAAAAGAAATTATTTTATGAAAGGGGTGATGATCGGGGGAGGAAAGTGTTTGTAGACTTGGAGTTGTAGTTTGGTACAAGAAATGAAAAAGGGAGGAACTTGACTCTGAAGCTGTCAACTTTCTTCTACGCTGCAAAAACCATGTCGGAATCATCCTCCAGGACTCCCATCACTATCGCCGGCGTTTCTTCCGAAGATCGATGCCAGCCAATAAACAGCATGGCATCCGGCGACTCTTATACACCCACCTCTAGCATTACCCAGTCGTTTCAGTTTTCTTCCGGAAATCCTCGCGTGGAAGAGACCAGGGGCGTGATGCACCTCTTCCGCAACGATGTGGCCTCATCTCCCTCCGAAATGCCTGTAATGATATATTCACCTTTGGTGTATTTGATCCGTCTGAACTTCATTTCTATCGTGTTTCGACTTAATTCAGTAGAGGGAGGATGTAGCATGTTTATCTTTTGGTATAAAAGACCAATTTAATGGGGGATTTGTGAAGTTTGAAATCCTTTTCAAATTTGGTGGTTAAGTAGTACGGAATATATCTGCTAGATTCTATGCGAGTGATTTAAATTCTATTGAATTTAAATGCTATAACTACTTACAATTGGTAATCTCCGGATAACAACTTAATGAACTATGGTCTTGTCTTAGGAACCCAATAATGAGTATCTACACAAATTTTGGAACTTTTCCGCTGATTGATTTATTGGTAAAAGCAGAATTCTTACGAGTTATAAAGCTGTTTGAAATTTTTATTTGGTGGGTGCGGTGGAAGAATGTAATATCATCTGAATGTGTGCTATCAATTTTGGCAGTTATTTATATCATCTGAAAGTTTATGAAACTGAATGTGTTCGAACTCCCTGATATATGTTTATTTGGAGAGGGGCAGTTCCAGATGTTTTAAGCTATTTGCCAACAATCTCATATCTGTTTGTTTAGAAAAGGTTAAATTATTGATTAACCTTATTTTTTGATATATTGAAATATTTTAGTTTTTCATGGAAATGATAAATCACAATGTCATGATTCCTCCTTTGTGTTTTCCTTTGATGTCATTAGGCTGAGAGAAAACCTCTTCTTTGTGTGCTTGGTGTACCCAATCACATGACGTATTCAGACTTCTGTCAGTTTTGTGGCTCATTTCTGCAACATATGCTAGAAATGAGAGTTGTCAGGTATTCGTTTGGAGAACTATACTGGCCATTTGCATTCTATTATTGGCTCTAACTATTCTTCGTATTGTGCAAGAGTGTAGGAATGAAGGAGTAGAAGATCGATACAGTATTTTGATAAGGTTTGATGAGCAAATTTATGCTGACTCTTTCTATGAACATTTTAGTGGCAGACATTTCTCATCTCTTGAGGTATGCTCTACTCTTATTAATATTTTGAAATTCAGTTAAAGTGTTTAAGTAAAATATGTGTTCGTCTGTTTTATTTTGTCTTTAAGTGCAGCAAGAGCCTTGCTATGTTCTTTTCACGGGTGATGTGCATTACACTGGATCAATTGAGCATTTGCATACTTCTCCTCCAAGCACTACAGAACAACCATCTTGTCCAGTCTGTCTTGGTATTGAAATTGATATTGCAATTTGTGTGTGGAACTTATGATGCCTGTCGCCTTTATTTGGATACACAGTCTTATATAGATTATTTGTTCCATGTACGGCCTCACATTGATGGATTATATCCTTTAGGTTATTTAGTATTCATTTCTATGACCTTCAGTGCAGATAAGCTTGAAGCTAAATGAACTAAATTATATATTTCATCTTTGACATTGAAATTCTCCCTAAGGATACATGGATACCTCTAAACCCCAGGCTCTTACCATTTCCCATTATGAGCACACTCCTCTTTTTACCAGTATTATTATATAGTTTATATTTATTTCTTTCTAAAATATTTTTGCAGAGCGGCTAGATCTGGACACAAGCGGGATTCTAACCACACTCTGCAATCATTCTTTTCATTGTTCTTGCATTTCAAAATGGACAGATTCATCTTGCCCAGTGAGTGATAATTGTCTCTGGTAGTGGTGGTAAATTTATCTTCGATTTGTTATCCAGTGCCATCAAATCAGCATTGCATTGTTTTAATCTATTTTTCTTACAAACTCCATTCAATGATGTGAAAATTGGCCTAGGCAGCCACCTAGGAGTTAAATGCTTCTAAGGCGAAGCATATAGGGGAAAATTTGCCTGTGTTAGGCGCTTGGATGACCACTAGGCACTTATAGAGTTATAGGTGCTTCCAGGTGTTGCTGGGTATTTGTAACACACCTTTTTAGTGCACACCCTGTGTATTTGTTTCAATATTATATACATATATGTATGCACAAATTCTAGATGTAAAACATCAAAAGAACTCAAACTATGTATTATAATGTATGGCACCTAGACACAGGTCTGGGCGCTAACTGGTGGCCCAGCGATCGAAGCAACCATAACTTCATATACAGAAATACAGAATCATGGCTACCTTTTTTTTAATAGAATTTTCATTTAGAATATGCAGCCCACTTTAGCTAAAGTGCAATTGCAAATCGTTGACTCTAAATTGTAATAAACATTACATGATGATATGATTAAAAATGTGTTGATATAAATACAAAGGCTGAAGTAAAAGCACATCTGGTAAGTGCTAGAGGGGTTTGAAGACATCGCTGCTGGTGATTATTTTTGCTGATTAATAATTTAATATAGCCTTAGAAAGTCTTCATTCAAGTTGTAGTTAGCTAGCCATATATGATTATCTGATCTAGTCGAGGTGTTGAGTCCTAATATTGAAATTGTATCATTTTAGAAGAGGTATAGTTTCACTTCACCCAACGCTTAAATTATTATTCCATAAATGTTTTACATTAAAAGAAATAAAAATTACAAGGAACATAGTAGAAAATTGAAACCAAAGATAAACCTTGACAGTTGGCATGGCATTCCGTGCTAGCACCACATGTACGAAAAATCTTTTATAAATGCGAAGTAATTGAGATATCGAGAAACCTTGATATCAACATGTAACATTCTAATTGAAATGATTTCATGAGTTTTTTTAGTCAAGTGTCCGAAATATATCTGTTAGGGTTTGGGGTCTTAATTGCACTTTTGATAATTGATTCTGGTAGATACCTTTTAGCACAATAATTCCAAAAAGCTATATGGGGACTCATCGGTGGGAAGTCCCTTACTTTATGGTGTCTATTTGTTGACAGCATCAATAGATTTTATAATGTTTTTGATAAGATAAAATCCTTACAAGTTGACATGCTGCAGTATCTCTTCCAACCTTTACAATGGCTATATACTTCCTCTGTTCTTGAAATAGGTGCAACATTCAACTTTTCACATTTGCCGATGCATAACTTTGACCATTAATATATATTATTCTCTATTAGTAAAAAATAAAAAAAAAAGATTTTGAAAAGTTACAATGAGACAAATTTAACAATATTTAAAAAAGACTAATTTATTAATATATCAATACATAAAGTGTAATCAAAGTAGAGCATGTGAATAGTGTACATCTCAACATGTTGCACTTATTTAAGAATGGAGGAAATATATAGTTGATGAAAGGAAAAAAAGATCAGCACAGATGTCTTGCATCTGGTTTTTAAATTTCCAACGTCATTCAGTGAAGCACTGCTTCAAAACGTAAAGCAGCGGAAGAAATGTGTTTCTGCTGTTTATCCTCCCACGCCTAGAGTTTTTGAAGTCTCAACGACAATTGAGTAGAACTTCTGTTTAAGAATTAAAACTCTGTTTATGTTTATCTTATTTATGTTAAAGTGAGACTAGTGTGGTGGAAATAATTTGTCCTTCATTTCATTTTGGCATAATATTTACCATGAGATGTCAATGAACATGAAAGGTTCAAGAGATGATGTATACTTTCCTTGAATGTATCAGGTATGTCGATATTGTCAGCAGCAGCCAGAGATATCAATATGTATCATTTGTCAAACATCAGAGAATCTCTGGATGTGTGTTATATGTGGTTTTGTTGGTTGTGGAAGGTAATGATCAAAACCAGTATGTGAGTGATTTCTTGTTTACCAACTGAAAAGTGGGGTTTCAGTAAAATGTATTTAGTATTTTTCATGTAGATATAAAGATGAACATGCTAAACAGCACTGGAAAGAAACACAACACTGCTATGCACTTGAACTGGAAACAAGACGTGTCTGGGACTATGCTGGAGATAATTATGTTCACCGTTTGATTCAATCTAAAACTGATGGCAAGTTGGTTGAGTTGAACCACCACTGTGTTCACATGAGAGAAGGTTGTTATAACTGTGAATGTGGCATTGATCCTGTATTCAGCGAAGCTCTTCAAAACAGCAAAGTTGAAGCTGTACGTTTCATCTCTTCCCTTCTTTATCTGTGATTGTTTTTTTTTTTTTTGCATCTCACATTCTTTCAACTTGTTTAGATGATTATCTCTAATCTTTAATAATGTCTTTATGCAGATTGTCAGTGAGTACGATGAACTTCTGACCACACAACTTGAGAACCAGAAAGGGGTCAGTATCGTTAATTTGCACAAAATTGAGCTTATTTGTGATCAAACTTTACAAGTGATGAAGTGATGCACACCTTTAGTTTTTTGTTGTAACATTAATGATTCTTCGTAAAAGTAGCGCTCACAATAAATGTAGTAACAGTCTGCTTTCAATTCAGTACTTTGAGTCTTTACTACGAGAGGTTGAAGAAGAAAATGAAAGGGAAACTTCAGAAGCTGTTGAGAAAGCTCTAAAGCAGAATACTAGGCTGATTAAGTTGCAGGCACGGTTGGACAAATGTTCCAAAGAAAAGAAATTTCAGGATGATGTGAGTTCCTAAGTAGGGGCCTTTGCTCATATAAGCTCTACAATATTGCACCATTTCACTTTGCAACAGGCAGATATCCTCATTTCATGGTGGGGACTGATGGATTTTTCTTTCAATTGCAGATCCATGACAATCTTGTGAGAAATCAGAAAATATGGGAATCCAAATTTGTTGAAATTGAGGAAAGGTATTGTTAAAATGGTCGTTTCTCCACTTCTGCATGAAATGGCTACGTGATACTCCTAAATATGTTTTCCAAGTCTCCACTAGACCACTACCCGTCTGTTAGTTTCTCATGTTTTGTTTATGGGTTCTGTGTATGTTTGAGGAGATGATTATTTTCGGGGGTGGGGCAGGGTATGTTACTTTTTCATTTCCTTTCTTGTGGGGTGTGGTATCTATTTCTCTTTTCCTCTGGAACACAAACACGTACAGCTTTGTGCATTTATAAGAGGACATGTCATCATCATCATCCCAATGTCACAAAGGCTCACACCTATGGTGGGGTAAGGGGGGTCGCATGTACGCAGTCTTACCCCTGTACTAAAGCATAGAGAGATTGTTTCCGGATGACCCATAGTGAAAATCGCGTCGAAAATTGCATGGACTGATTGCTGCCTCATAACAAAGAAGCACAAATAGTTTAGTGAGCCATGTTAAATTGGTTTATAAGAGGACATGTATGTATAAAAATTGGTTTACATTTTCAAACACGTGAACCTGTAATCTAGGTGTCTTATATAACCAACTATTCATTGGGAGCTTCATGTATTAAACATGAAGAAATTAGCCAAGCGTGTGTTGGAAATACATTGTGTGTGTCTCTCTTTGTTTTATTCACCGCTTGCTACGGAGTTGTCTCATACATGCCATTGCTGACAAACACTAGGGTCTAATGCATCACGGGTAATCTTTTCCTTAAACTCACACCAGTCACCTTAATGCTTTGTTTGGTGGGAGGAAATAGAGGGATGTGAAGTAGTTGGCAAAAGAAAAGTGGAGGAGAGATAGGTGAAGAATAGAGAGAAATAAAAGTTGACTAGCTGAATAGATGTGAGAATCGAGAGGAAATATTTGAATTAAAGTAGTTTGGTAGATAAAAGAAAATTACGCCGTACTAAAAAGTGGGAATGTTTTCTCATTCTTATATCATGCATTTCTTTCTTCCCATTTCTCCTCTACCAAAGGAAAGACATACATCGAAATCCTTGATGCTCCTTTCACATGTTTTCTTTTTCTTTACAATCCATTTATTTGTGTCCAAACACACTTCAAAGGTTAAATCATGCCTCGTGCACTTTTGTGAATTCAAACTCTGGTGTCAAGAGTCTATGTTGTACTTTTTTTGCATTTATAAATTATAAAGCTGTCTATGTGTGCTGGGTTCAAAATTATAGGGAACGCAAGCTCTCGAAGGTGAAAGACCAGAAGATTAAGGACTTGGAGGAAGAGGTATCAGAGTATTTGGTTTACTATGGTGTATCATGTACCATTTTTTTTTGCTTGTTTGACATCCTCATGTTGACTAGAGTGAATGTACCGGGGTTTTATTTGCAGCTTATGAATATGATGGCATGCTTAGAATCAATGAATACTACACAACAGCCGTCATCAGATTAAACTGGAGAAAAAGCCAGGAATTATCTGGCTGTGATTTTCCATGGATTTCATGTCTGCTGCAGATCTGCCTCAATTTGTCTCACTTTCATGAAACTTCTTTCATGCCTGTCTTTCATGCCTGTGAAATTTCATAGCATTACAATGATGAACGCATGTTTAAAAAGAAATGACCACCCAGATCGTGGTAGTGATGAATGTTCATCCTGAGTATGCTGTACCTATTTTTCATTATTTCGTATTTTCGTACTTCGCTTCAGATTTAATACTCTTATGTGCAGTCCTCCGTGTAATATATAAAAAATCTGTACTCTGCAATCTCACTTCTTAATAATTCGTGTTTTTTCATTATTACAGGAACTAGCTATAGTTAGTGAGCGCGATGTGTCTCTAAGAGCCAATTTAGTAGTTGAAATTGATTGAATGAGCTGAATTTGTTAAAATTGTTTAAGTGCAACTGTGCAAGGTAAAATGATTGAATCTGTTTGAATTATGAAAAGGTATATATAAATTATATTTTATTAAAGAATTAAAGAAAAAACTATATGAGAAAATTAAAATAGTCTTCTTTAGACAGTCAAATAAGTGATTTCAATTTTATTTATTTTGATAAAAAAGTAGGTTGACCAAATAGTGAGCAGGTCCAGTACCACTAAAGTCGTCCCTAATGTACCTCCAATACATCAAAGGTGAAAGGATGGCTGAAGGACCTCTTGTGGGCCGAAAGGAACTAGAAGGATGGTTGAGCCCATAGACCAAGGATGTTTTTACTTAGACTGTAATTTGTTGGTCTGGTCTGATAATGTCTGGGCTCTTTGTATTTTTATAACTATCCAAGTTTGGTCTGGTCTGAACTAGTCTGGTCTGGTCTGGGACGAATTAGGATGTTTTTACTTGAACTGTAATTTGTCCCAGACCAGTCCAGACCAGACCAGTTCAGACCAAACCAGATCAGACCAGACTTGGATAGTTATAAAAATACAAAGAAACCAGACCAGATCAGCAAATTACAGTCCAAGTAAAAACATCCTTACAGTCCAAGTAAAAACATACTAAACCTCGAGTCTTCAAGCATAGAGTCAAGGAAGTGGGTGAGCATTTCGAGGATCGGGAAAACAATATACACTAGAGCTTCGGGATGGATCGGACTAGGATTGGTCGGGCTCTGGGCCGGGACTGGGCGGGCTCGGGTCTTAAAATTTCAGGCTCAATTCCGGTTCGGGTTTATACTGGGACAGGTCCGGGCCTAAACAGTACTGGGTCGGGACGGGACTGGGCAATAAATTACTCCCTCCGGATCTTTTTAAACTTCACAGTTTGACTTCACACAGATTAAGGAAATAAAATTGACTTTACTGTAGAGTACACTGTTGAGTCACTGTTTAGCACTGTTTGGCACTGTTGAAACACTGTTTGGCACTGTTGAAACACTGTTTGACACTGTTTAGCACTGTTTAACACTTTTTTGAAGTTGATTTCTTTGCCAAATAAGGAAATAAGGAAGTGTGAAGTTTATTTTGGACCGTCCAAAAAAGGAAAGTGTGAAGTTTATTTAGAACCGGAGGGAGTAAATAATAGTGCAATCAGACCCAGGACCGGCCGAGTAGACCCCAAACAAATGAGCCTGAAGCCCGCCCTTATAGCCACCGGGCCGGGACAAGGCCTATACATTAGCGGGCCGAACCGGGCCTAAACAACATCGAGACCGGGTCGGACCGACCCGTTCTAGTCCATCCCAGTATCGGGCCCGGGACTCGGCCCGACCCGGTCTTGTGCAGACTAGACTCGGCCCCGTCAGCCGGTACTGGTACCGGAATTGGGGACCCGAACCGGGAGGGATTGGGGCGGGCTAGGGCTTTGAAAATTGTGGACCTGACCCGACTAGTCCGGGCCTATTTTTATTTTTATTTTTTGGCATTGGGCTGCCTGCGAGGTGGGTGGGGCTGGGTGGTTTTGAGGGATGGGGGGGGGGGGGGGGTTGGAATTGATATGAAAATACCCAAAAAAAAATTATTTGGAGCCCAACCCGGCTCGGTCCCGAACTCCCGGTACTAACCCGGGCTGGTACAAGGCCTGGATATTTTTGACCCGGAGCCCGGCCCGATCCATGCCTAGTCGGAGCATGGGTAGCAACAACAAGAAATGGCGGGAGGGCCCAACCAAGGGGGAGTTGACACATCACTACGATACTGTCTCATTAGTGTAAACATCACCTTACACTATGATCTTGTAAATAGATAGTCTAGCGATCGATAGATCAGAATAGCCTTAGTTCATAGCAAGTTCTTGAATGTATTTCTGTACTAATGAAACATACGGAGTATTTGAACATGCAAATCGATCGCTCACCTTGCTGCTCGACATCCTGTACTGCTTTATTTCCTCTTTTAATTTCCATAAATTCCATAGAAAATAATCACCAATTAGCATCTTCCTCCTTCATTCGTGCTTTGTATGCATTCTTTAATCAATAAGGCTTCAAAGATTTCCACATTCTCATTAAATAGTCCATTGTCCAGACATGAATGAAGGGCATGATCAATGATGTCCCCCCACCCCCACAGATTGCAAACTGCCAAAATGTGGTCCTAGTCTTCGAAGATTCACCGTGTAACACCCCGGCCCCGCAGGACCCAAGGTAGTTACCCCAGACCTCTAGTACTGTCCTCACAAATCGAAACTTTCCAGGGGTCACTCAATCCAAGACTACTCTCTTGCAAGCACGCTTAAAAAGAGATGCATCTTGTTGGTATGAGTAGTACTATTAATCCATTTCAATTAAATCTCGAGTATTACAATCACCCCCACTTAGGAATTAGGATCATAACGTCCTTGTTGCGCCCTTAAATCAATCTTAATCGAACCCCAGAATCTTGCCCCGCTAAGTGCCCGTCCGATGTCCAACGGATCAGAACCCAAGGTAGTTACTCCACACCTCTACAGACCTCTAGTTAGGGGTCGGCATAAAACCCGAACCGAACCGGTACTGAGCCGTCTCGTAATGGTACCGAACCGAATACCGGGTATTTAAACGGTTCTATAGATTTTTGTCCCGTACCGAAACTGAACCGTTTGAAACGGGTACGGAACCGAAAAATACCGGACCGAACCGTTTGAAAATAATGCATTTGAATTTTTTTATAATTTTTCTATATCAATAGATCTCTTTTATAGACAAACAATTTTATAGCCCAAGTATGTATTCACGCGTTCCTAAACTAACTAAATGTGCGTGTTTATATTATATATTGTTATTTTTTCTTTTTTTGGGTAATTTATGTTTTATATTTTGATATGTATTGAAAGAATATTAAAATTATCAAGGACTATTCATTTTTAGTAATGTAGTGTACATGACTTTATGTAGTATCATGCTTGCACAATAATTTTACAACTTAATTAATATGGTTTAAATTTCAGCTCTCAAGTTTCAACTATAAATTAAATTAGAACTACGGAGACATATTTAACTTAGAACGAAGAAAAACATTGAAGATTTATATTATATTCATCAATTTGATGATATTCTTTTTTATGTTTTCACATGAACTTAGTAAATTAAAGATGATATTTATCTTTTTGCTATACTTTTTCTTAGTTGTGTTGCGCTATTTGTGTATTTGTGAGCTTTAGTACTACATACGGAGTATGAAATTTCTTGTATTTATATCAACATTTCATGTGAGTTGGTTGGTGTGAAGATATCTACTAATTGCGAGATTTGTTCAAATTTTTTAGCATGTGTTTGGCATTGTACCGTACCGTTTTGTACCATTCCGAAATGTCATGGTACCGAACGGTTCCATCCTTGAAACCGGACCGTACAGGACCGTTTCGGACCGTTCCAGACCGCACCCACCCCTACCTCTAGTACTGTCTTCACAAACCGCCACTAGCCTTTTCTGCGCACTTTGTCCTCACTCGTGCGCGCCCTAAGAAACTTCCTAGCGGGTCACCCATCCCAAGACCACTCTCATGCAAGCACACTTAACTTTGGAGTTCTTGGGTGATGAGCCCCCTTAAAAGGAGACACATATTGTTGGTATGAATAGTACTATTAATCCATTTCAATTAAATCTCGAGTATTACACACCGCCATAGCTAGACACCTATTCATGGCCTACCAGAAAAATATTTGACCTTAGAAACAACTGGAAAATTTCACATGTGAATCGATCTGCCCCGTATTGGGTTACCCGAGCTACGAGTCATGTACCAGTAACAATTTTTTACTCAAAACATTCCATTTCTTTCTCCATTCCACCAATAGGTATTTGGTCTACTACACATACTAATCATTATATTCATTATCTTATTGGCATTTCCTATGGAGATAATCGATATGAACCGGACCTAGTCCCAATTTTTTAGTCTTCCAATCGCAGCGCTGCACCATTCATGTCTCTTATATTTGTTGATTTTGGTTGTTGTACCCTTCCCGAATCAAAACCTGGGAGCAATGTATCTCCCCAAACTTGGAGGTCCAAGTTTGGACCTTCGCTCCACTAACCACTCTCCTATGTATATTCTGTGAAACTACCTATTGTGCCTCTAAAATGCTTCCCCATATGAAAAATGGGTTAACACCTAATTGCCCCCCCGCCCAAGAAAGAAGTGTTTTGGAAATATGGAGCCTAAAAAATCCTGCTTGCCAAACTCGACTTGCTTGTTGTTAATCTTCATGCCCGTTTAGCTAGATATCTGAATCCCATTCCACCTTCCCCCTTCGGCTAACATATCTCACCCTAGGCTCTCCAACGAATACATGTATGTTTAACGTAATTACCCTTCCACCGATATATATTCATACCTTTTTCAATCTCATCACTTAGCTTCCTTGGCAACAAAAAAGTTTATGACATAGTTAGGCATAACCTGGATTATATCCTTTAAAAGCACCGCCCTACCAACTCTTGATAAAAACTTGTGATTCCAACTCTTGATTCGATTAATAATTCTCTCATGAATATAAGCTAAGTAACATAGCTTTTTTCCAACGGTCAATCAAAGTCGGAAGGCCAAAGTACTATACATACTATCCATCTCTAGCAACCCCAATGAATTACATAAGTACTCTCACATAGCTCCATCATATTTGGGCTAAAATAAACACACGATCTATTGAAATTAACCACTTGACTAGATTCCTTGGCATATTGAGTAATGATTTTTTAACAACTTCACATTCCTTCACCGATGCATAAAAGAACAACAAACTATCAACAAAAAATAAATGAGATACCTTCGGTGCTTCTCCACACACCGCCACTCAATCCAAATCGCCTCCTCTTTCCGCTTGAAGAAAATGAGCACTCAATCCTTCCGCCACCAAAATGAATAAATAATGACATAAAGGGTTGCCTCGATGCAAAAAAAC